TTCAACTGTTTGCCATGGCACTCAAACATATCAGTAACACACACAGGTATTATTGTAATTTTATTTTTTTTACATGGAAAATCTTATCCCAAGATCAAGTATTGAAGATCACCCTATGTTTGACTGTGACCAGGATTTCTCCGTGCCAAGTGTTTGTTTGAGACACACCTGCACTTACAAATCTATCTCCAGTAGATTTTAAACATATATCACACATTTTCATTAGTTTAGTTTGGACAAATCATAGCCCAGTTTGTTTGTTACTGATATTATTCTTCTGAACTACAGTGTGAGTGCGTACGGTAATGTTTATCCACGTATGGAGGTAAAGGGTACCATATAGAGACACTCCTGGTTTTAAATGTGTGCAACCTTTTCCATTTGTAAGAGTTTCAGTTTCTTGTATTCTTTTTTTCCAAATTTTGCTGTTCAGATTGAAAATGTTTTTGATTTTTTTTTTTACTGAATACTTTTTGCAATTAAATGTAGAATTTGTGTAATATTTCCAAAGCAAGATCAGGGCATATTATGGTGTGGATCATTGATTTAAAAGATCAATGATAGAAGAGGCTAAAAGCTAACGCCTGCTACAAGCTCTCTTATGACAAGAGAGTGTGCAGCCAGCCCTTGAGGCACCTGTGTGTTACATGTCTGGAAAATGCTGCATTTCAAACACTGACTTAAGGAAGCTGGATGTTTTCTCTGTGCTACTGCTCTTTCCTGATACCAGCTCCAGTACAGCTGTTGGTTCTTTATGGAAGTTGTTGAAGACTTGGAGAATCATAAGAATAACCCAAATACTTGAAATGTCTTTATAATGAGTGCATTTCAAAGTCATCCAAGCTGTTCTTGGCTTGTTTTCATTCCTGTCTTTGTCCCACTTCACAAACCTGTTCTGTTAATGACAGAACCCTGTTCAATCTGGTTGGAGAAATGTTCTAACACAATTCTAGGGCTGGTGACTGAGTTTAGGGCAAATTTAATCTGGGAAAAAGGTGAAAATGTTTACTGGAGGAGATAACAAGACTGGTGGTGAGATGAGATAGAAGAGCTGAGGAGACAGATTCTGTATCATGTAAAAACAAAAACTTTAAAAACAACTAAACAAACAAACAAAACAGCAACAATGAAACAAAAACCATTTTACTCAAGGTTGGCAGCCTTTCCGGAAATCGTTGATCATCCACTAGTAGATAAATAATGATGAATACAATTGGGAGTGACTTCCAGTGAACTTGGGCTGGTTTTTTTTCTTGTTTAAACAGACACTAGTCAACAAGTACAGAAGAAAGTGTAAATGTTATCAGGAAAACCATTTGCATTATTGTGTCCTTCACAGGTTATCACAGTGCTACACAGTGTTACAGGAGCAAAACACAGCAGGGTCATGCTGCAGACTGTGTTCTTGGGATGTTGCCCTTTTCTTTGGACAGGTATCAGCCATGCAGGTCTTCCTTTGGGCTGTCCGTCGGGTCTAGTGACACAGCCTGGTTTTCATAACCCAAACTAAGAACCAAACTTCATTGCTGGCTGAGGAATCTCAGTTTTGAGGTAAAACGTGGAAAGGAATGAAAAGACAAGCACTGGCAGAGCTGCAGCTCCAGAATTACAGGGAGCTTCTGTGTCCTGAGTCACACCTAGAGCTTTCGTGAGCCCAGCGAGAGACTGGATTAGTGTCGGCAGGTACTGAGTCAGGCTCAGGAAGTCCAGCTTATCTTGTACAATTTTCTTCCTGCTCATAATAAAGATGCAGTCACAGTCTGCGGGATGCTATTGGTAGGACTGCTCATTTTCTGTCTACATCTTTATTAGAGCTGAAGGGGTTGTGCTGTACATGTAGTATGCAAGGGTACACCTCCTTTTTATTTGAGCTAGGGCATTAAGTAAACAGAAGGCAAACTCAGCCAGAGCTGTGAAAGCTGTATCCGGACAGGAGGCTTCAGAGGCAGAAAATGTAGAGGTACTTTGTCTTCTTTTTTCCCCTACTCCCCTATTTCTTTAGAATATTAGTATTCTTCTCCCCTTTCCCTCCCTCCTCTCCCCGGGTGTTTTGCAAGAAAATTAGAGCAGTTGTATTCTTATTTGTGTTTTAAAACATATTTTAAAGTGAGTTCTGACTTCAGGTTTAATGAAGTCAAATGTAGTTGACTTTCAACAATATCTTCTCGGATGGAGAAATAATTTTGCAATTGTATGTATTTTGTTATTTTTTTACATTGCCTTAATTGCAATGAAAGGAAAATCGTGAATACACATGATCTTATCTAATCTCTTTGGTTTCTTCTTTGATATCCCCCCCCCTTTTTTTTTTTTTAAACAAAGGATAGCTGTAAAACCTTTAAAAAAATACTCTTAAAGCATATAAATTTTTTGCGCTTTCAAACTTCTGAAATTCTTAGCTATCAGTGGGATGTCATAAAAACATTTTTAAACTAGTGTAGGGACTTCTGTTCGTGAAAGTATACAGAATACAGAAGTGCAAACAAGTTTCTTCCTTCACTGCCACTTCATTATTGCATGTATTTTCAGAATACTCTCTACTTTTACATTCTTACATATCAAAACCTGAAACTGTTTTGAAAATCCTCTCACAATAAACTTCTAAGTTTTTGAGTAATTTTACCTGTAGTATGGGTACTATGCAACATTCTGGAATTCATAAGCTGCCTTAATTTTTCAGCTGTTGCGGTATTTCAAAGGGGGATGTTAAGGCTTATGGAGAATACAGATTAATTACTAGTTTGTTTTTCTATTTCTCTTTCTCTGTTTTATTATTATTTTAATTTTATATTTTGAAAAATGCCAATAGTTCTAAACATGAAACAAAGAAAATCAAATTGAAGGATTTTTTTTTCTTCCTCCCAGGCTATGTGTGTGCTAGGAGTGCTTCAGTGGCTAGAAATTTTTGTCAACTGTATTCGCAGGTTCTCAGAATAAGCACATAAATGTAAAGCACAGACATGCTTAATACGTTTAAGCATTCCTCTCCTTTGCAATCAAGCAAGAGACACTTCTAAATGTGCCATTTAACTCTGACTGAAAGTGCATCTGCCATTTTCCTCCCTCATTCGTACAGACATTCACCAGTCTGCCAAGGTGACTGTGCCCCAGGCCTTTGTATGCCTACTTGCAGTTGTACAACCCGTATTCTTGCTGTACAACATGATAACATGTCTCATTTTTAAAATAACTATGAATAGTCCCATTAAAGGCTCTATTTTCACTGTATTGCCGTATTTTGGCTGAACTGGAGTCCGTGGACAAATCAGTGAAGCATTAATAATTTCAAAACTAATAAAGTTATAACTGTTCAGTAATGACTACTGTTAGGTAAGAGAAAAAAAATATTTTCTTTTGTTTGTTTGTTTGTTTGCTGACCTTTCCAGAGATTATTAATGCAGGGCTCCATGTAGATATATTTTTCCAGGGCTACGTTAGTTATCTTAAACTCAGACACTGCTATTGCTTCTTTTCGTTTTGGAGGAGTAGAAGTTGTGGGGAAGCTGTGATTTATCTTAATTATTACTAAGTTTTAGATACTGTTGCTACTAATTAGAATGGTTTAAATTAACACCTCTCACCTTTGCATCCTTATAGAATACTGATATTATAAAACAGTTTACAATGTCACATAATCTCTCTTATCTGAAAATATCATGGGCATCGTTTATCCGCAAATAACCAGGACCTTCCCCTCATTATAGTCATTGTTCTGCATGCTGGAACTTAGACTTTGGAATTTTTAAGTTTCTTTATATCCAACTTACATTTTATTACACCTTAATTTCACTGGAAGATGGGCTCAGGAGTACAGCTATAATGGCACTTGTGGAGCTCAAACACTGATATTGCATGGTGAGTTTAGATGGATGCAGTTAGTTGAAAGGTCTGTGCTGAGGCAGGAACACAGACAGACTTCCTTCAGATTGAAGGGTATTCCCTCTCTGTATAAAGTTTTAAAATTTGTATGGAATACAGGAATGCTTTAGTTTATTTGTTCCTTTGCACAGCTTCCTTCTCAGACATATCCAAGGTGCACTACGGACCAAAGTTTTGATTCAGAAAAGTCTGAAAAGTTTACCTGGTGTAAAACTGTAGGATAGTGAATTTGTGAAAACAGTATTTCCATTGTATGACTCTGGTAGTATTACATATTAGGTAAGCCCGAGCTTCATGCTAGGTTGTACATTACACTGATTTTAAAAGAACCAAATCATCCTGTGTATTTCAGACAAATGCGGTATTCAGAAGAAATTCAGAAAGTCAGAAAACAGTATCAAATATATGTTTTCTGATTCAAATGTTTTATAAAATGTCAAAAACATAACTTTTCTGTTAGCCAAACTCCTTTAGGAGGCCATGTTTTTTTTTAAATAAAATCACTTGAACTTGTCTACATAAGTGAATTACAGAGACGAAGCGGGTAGTGACTAACACTGGTATTTCGCTGGCAATGGAGTCCTAGAAGCTCCTGCAGTGAATCAGTACAACAAACAGCCCTCTGAGATTTGATTTCTGATGGCCATCAATATGATGTGCTTTGGCCAAGGACATCTATACATTGACAAGTTAGATCTTTGGCAGAAGACAAGCAAAAGGAATTTAATCTCTTCTGCCAAGTGAATATACTTTATTAAATTAATACGAACTTGGAGTTTGATTAATATAAAGAACAAGCACGTGGAAAATTTGAGATGATAAAGCAGCAATCTGATTCTTCAGCCCACTAACAAAGTATATCTCTATATTTTCTGCCCACATGTCACTTCACCCCATTTAGCACTCTTCCATGTCTCATCAGTCTCATCATTGTAAGTGTCCCCTGAGGCAAATGTGCTCTGTGTCTTATTAGTGGTTTGCAGCTTAGCTCATCAGAAAGGTAGACTTGAGCAGCTGAGATTATTTCTCCATGAGACTCCATTAGGAGTCCCCGTGAAAGAGATGGGCACACTTGTGACATTTGGAAAAGCTGTGCACAATCACTGAATCTCTGACGCACTCTGGAAGACAGCAGTCTTTTTGCCACAACCCTCCGCATTTCTTGAGAGCTAAAAGGATGTACTGTACAAAAAAAAAAATAGAGGTGGCATCATGCTAATTTTGGAAGAAGTGTTGCTGGTTCTCTGAGTCCCTATGTCAAAACACCAATCTGTCTTGCTATAATTTAGCATGAAAACTTGATAAATTTATCTAGTCTAGAGAGGTAAGGTAAGGTTTCTAAATTATATAGCTGCATCAACCACACAGAAAAGGAAGCTGAAAAAGACCTCAAGACGTTATCTTGTGCATTCTGGAGCTCCAAGACAGGATCAGTTGTACCTAGGAAATGAAGGAATTATTTCATTATCTTTATTGTTAATAAGATTTTCTTGATACATAATGTAAACTTCCATGCTACTGTTTTTTTAAGCCCATCACTTCATATCTACTACAGATAAAAACAATTTTATCCCCGCCTCTTTATGAGTGACTTATGTAGATGAGCATTTTAATGTGTTCACTTGGCCTTCTGTTCTTTAGACCAAGAAACCTCAATTCTTTAAACCAACCTTCATTCCATCCTTCCTTCTGTCCTCCTGTCTTCCTGTCCGTCCTTCCATCATTCCTTCCATCCTGTCCTGCCTTCAGACACCTGCCTATTTTCTTTACTTTCTGCTAGCCAGAAATGTAATAGGAAGATTCCCTACTTCATCTTACAAGCAAACTAGTTTATCTTCCTAATATGCAGTTTGCATTCTTGTAGCAGTGTAACATTAATACATACATATAACGCGTATTAATGTATTTACTACTCCTCCTTTATCCCTGTTTGGCAGAATGGCTGTCTAATTGCTGGTTAGCAATCCCGCATCTTTACAAACTATTGTTTTGACTCAGAATGTCCCACTTGTAAAAACAAGTGCACTGCACTGTTTTTTCTCCTATAGGTTTTTTCTCTTGTCAAGAGCATTGTGAATTTAACATATCATGCAATGTGTGTGTTATTCATCTAGGCTTTTTAGTATCTACAAGGTTCCTTTATCCAAGTCCTTAATGAAAAAGTACCTGGTCACATTACATTTTTTTGAGTTTAAAGCTAAATTATTAAAACCTAATAATTTTTCTAAGTAGTTTTGCACTCTATCTAAAGTAATTTCACTTTTTCATAATTTACTTACAAAAATGTTATCCTTCAATATCAATAGCATTAAAATTAAAATATATTATATGACCTGCTTCTCCTCTACCAGTTTATGCATATTTTTTTTTTGTTACTTATTCCAGTATTTTTCCAGAATTGTTCTCTTCCTGGTTCCTTGGCTTTTTAAAGATGAGCGCTCTGTTCAGCTCTTCTGTTTTCTCATGTGACTTCTGTGAGTTTTCAGAGAGGAAGCTAGCAGCTCTGAATTTGCTTCACTGTGTTCTCAAGGTATCCTCATGTGCACTTACTCAGCCTTTGCTATGGATAGGATTAATTTCACCTAACTTTAACTACCTATAAAATAGCCATCTGTATCTGTGCTGGGGTTTAGGTTCCTAGCAGAATCGAGGGAGACTTGGTCAGTACAGTCAATGACCAATAGAGAGGCCTTCTGGAGAGGTACTGTAGAGACATACCTGAGGATGTGAAGTGATCTGCAGTCTCAATTATTGTCAGACCTGTTATTTTCCTATTTTAGGTGGAGTCTATCTCAACTGAGTTTAGTTATATGATTATACATCACCCTTTTTTGAAAAGTGATGCAAAATGCACTTTAGCCTTCTGCAAGAGATTTATCATTAGGTTTTTCTTTTCCTTAGAGATATGTTTTCTTGCTATCTGTTATGCCCATTGTTTTTTGCAGTTAAATTCATGCTTTATCCTTTCTGACTTTTTTTTTTCAGCATCTTGTGTTATTCTTTCATACCTGTCCTTAGCAGTTTGACCTGGTTTCCACTTTCTGTACATTTCCTTCTTGTGTTTCAGGTCATTGAAGACCGTGTTGCTTAGCCAAATTGGTCTCTGACCATACTTCCTATCCTCCTACAGTGTGGGATTGTTTGTGCTTGTACCCTAAGCATCATTTCTTTAAGGAACTGCCAACTCTACTGAATTCCTTCTGCCTTAGCCATGTTTCCCATGAGAACTTACCTGCCAGTTCCCAGGGTTTATTGGAGTCTACTTGCAGAGAGTCCGTTGGGTTTGAGTTGCTGCTTCCTCTTGTTCCTCATCTACAGAAATACACGTTATCACATCACAGTCGCCCTCAACCAAATTACCTTTACCCTCATATTCCCAACCATCCTCCCTCTTGGTTGCTTAGCAGGCAGCCTCTTGGCAGACTGCTGTTGAAGCACTTGGCAGGCTCCGACAGCTCCTGTAGACCATACACAGGGAGTGGTTAAATGCTGCTATTACACTCAGAGACAGACACAGCACATTGCTTTGTGATGTGCAACAGGAGATGCCCACCTAAACATTCACAGGGAAGCACTTGCATCTTTTTGCCGGGCATTCAATCAAAAAGACAACAAATCCTGCATATGCAGAGTGTTTCCGATGCTCCCCTGGGAAGGCAACTGTGGGGATGCAGAAACACTTTGCCCAGACTTGAAGTTCAGGTAAGGAGAGGATAAAACCTTTCTGCCTTTCCTTTGCAGACCCAGCCATAAAAGGAATTAATATATCTCTTTGGCCTGCTCTTTCTTTCTCTGAATCTTTGTTGTCTATTTTTTCATTCCTCTGAGTGGTGGTAATCTCCACTGAGGTTGTCTGATTGGTAAAATTGGATTGTCAGTAGCTTTTCATGTTACCTTCATTTTCATAGTGTAGCTAAATCAAAAAGGAAGATTTCTTTGATTATTTTTTTGTGTGTATGTGTGTGGTGGTGTTTTTTTCATTTATGTGTTTAGAAATTGCTATTGAATCTCAAGAAATAAATTGGGACATTATTATTTAGCTTTTGAAATAATACAGAGGCATTTTGGCAGTCTATTTTTCATTCTTTAATCTCTCCAAAGAACAGGAGTGTTGAACACCCAGCTAAAAGTTAATGCTACAAGGGTTCTGGTGTCTGAAACTGAGAGAGAGGCTCTCATTCGTTTTCTGGCTTTGCTATGGTCAATGCACATCTTGATTCATCTCATTTCAATACAGTTTACAGCTGCATAGGATTCTGTCAAATTTCAAGTGTTTAAACAGAAAATTTCCATGCTGGATATCTGCCTCAGGATATTATTTTTTAAAAGCCTTTAAGCAAAAATATTTTATAGATTTTTATACAGGCTGTTTTGGAAACAGTGATCTTTTTTATTTTGTCACATTGAATGGTTCTGGTGACCTTTCCCCTGAGAATTCCAGGTACTTTGCAGGCCTTGGAAAAAGCACTTGAAAATGAGGTTAAGGGGATATTGTATATTCTCAGTGAAACCTTTGCTTAATTGTGGTGGCACAGAGAAGTAAATTGAGAAGTAAGCCACCCAATTTAAATAACAAGGCAAGCATGAGCAAGATGTTTTTGGAAAGTGTAGGGGATCGCTGGCAAAATAGATTGAAAGAAAGAAATCAGTGGAAAGAAACTGTCTTGATGAGCAGTGTGAAAATTGATGTGGGAGGGAATGGAAAGGAAAATGTGTCAGTGTAGTTTGAGAGGTACTAAAATTGCTAGAGGAGCTGGAGAGCAGAGCCTGGAATGAGCTAAATACGGGAGCAGCAGCAGGGCTGTGTGGGAGGCTTGGAAGAGGAAGGAAAGAGAGATCTGATGAGCAGGGCTCAGAATTGCGGTTGGTGTGGGGGGCTGTGAGACTGACTGAGATGAAGGGAGGAGTTTGGCCGGGGGAGCCAGCAAAGACCTGGCTCGTGCATGGGAAGACTGAACACCGGCATCAGGGTGAGATCTGACGGGTGTCTGGGAAGCTGGAAAACAGGATTTGCTGGGCAAACTGACAGGGAACGATACAAGGATGCCTTTTGGAGGTGAGGATCTGCTGGAGACTGGGTTAAAAGCCTGAGGACTCGAAACAGGGTCTGGGGAAGAAGGGGGCCCCACCTGGAGTGGGGGCTGATGGAGAAGCACTGGTGCCCACACCAATGCATGTCTAGTAGGAAGGGAATGCAGTGTTTGAGGGCTGCTGGGGAGTGGGGTGCAGGGAGGTGGCACTGGGGGTACTGGGAGGGGAAGACTCCAGGCAGGCCACGCTGATGGCAAGGGAAGCAGGGTCAAGCTGTGCAAGGGACCGCTCTGCACCAGTGCCAGCAGTGGCATCCAATGCCCCAGAGTCCTGCCATTTTGTTACTGTCAGCAGACAATTCTGATGAGCTTGGGTCTCACCCTTACCAACACCAGGTTTGTTCAGAAGATAACCTGCTGCCACTGTGTTGGTTATTCCATCAGAGTGAGTATTACAAGACTGGTCAAGGGAGCTAAATGATTCACCACTGACAATGATTTTTGTGCATGTTGTTACAATGCTGCATTAAGACATTTTTCAGTAGTTTTTCAATGCTTTTTTTTTTTTTTTTTTCTCCAAAGAAACAGGATATTACACACAATGTGACACACCCAGTTCAAAGGAGATGGATGTTGCTCTTGAGGTGCTATAGGGCTGTGCAGTAGGATCCTTGCTATCTGCAGCAGAAAAAGGAAGTTGTGCAATGAATCAGGCAAGAGGTTTTATGATGAGAGTTTATCTGCCAGAATATTCCCATATGGTGTGAGGCAACTATATTTTCATTGACTTTTCTCCATTTTCTCAGTACTGAAACAGATTCCAGAAGCAGATTTGCATATCTTTTAAGCATTCATATCTGTAACTGGATCAGAAAGACTATTTTGAACTTAGAGTGTACTGTAATGTTAAATACTTTGAAATGTAAGGTCTTTAGTTTCAAGATTGTGATGCTTAAAGCCAGTAGATACTTCATCTTATGCTTTCTGTGATGCAGCTTGCACACTATTTTAACCCTACTATTTCCTAACTTCTTAATACTTGATGCTTCATGTGCCATAGTGTAAGATGTAGGAACATGTTTCCTGGAAACAAACTAAAACAATCTTTCTGACAAACATCTTATCCTGCAACACAAAAGAGACACGAAAGGAAAGGAAAAATAGGTCTAGATTCTTGTAGAAAGAGACAAATGCATATACACAGTTTTGTCAGGCTATTTCAGAAGAAATTCTGTTAAAGTGTAGGCACCAAACATGAGTGTATGTATTTGAACATGATTCCTGTACAGGAGTCTTGGGGGAAGAACAAAAAGGAAAGTTGGAGGACATGAGATTAGAGGTATGGTTTTGGTCAAAATGGTGTTGGAACCTGAAAGTGAGGATACTACACTCGAATGACAGGCACAGCTGGAAGAGATGGGAGCAAAAAAAAAAAAGAAAAATAATTTTAGCAGGGACACTTTGTATGCACTGAAGAGTAGAAAATGATGAGAGATCATCACTCTCATCAGTTATGGCACAGGGATACTAGTGGAGGGAATACAAGTGGGATATAACTAGATGAACAGCACCCAGGAGGTTGCCAGGGGCCCATGTGTTAAGCAACAGGAACTTGCGAATAAACATTGGTCTATGCTGTTCCATGTGAAACAGCTAGAAAGAGTGAATCAAGTTTACACAGGGATGTGAAAAGCAGAAGGGAGAGAGGTGGGTAGACCTGAATTGCAAGGAAGACATTGCTATTACTGGAAGTAATTGAGAAGATAAATATGAGAAGGAACTGTAAGACGTGCAAGAAGCCAGAAACCTAGTTAATGATACAATAAGAAAAGCAGAGGGATTCTGAGGCCCTGTGTCCCGTGAAACAAGAGTGCACCATGTTCTAAGCTTTTCTTGTGTATTTTTTCTCCCTTTCTTCATTCTTAGCAAATTTCTTAAGCACATCTAAATTCCCTAGGAGAAAGAGTGGTGGAGGTTGCTCTCCCACGACTGGTATTGCAGTGGTTTCACTGGCAGTTGATATGTGTTTAGGATTTTGAATTAACGGTTTAGATAAGAAGGCCCTGCAGCCATTACCAGGTATAACCACACAGAAGGGGTATATTTTGTTCTCATAAAGAGAACACAAGCAGGGCCTGAGAGCACAAACGGGGCTCTGACTAACCCTGCCCACCCGCCGGGGCTCCCCTCACTCTGCCCAGGACCCCATGTCAGCCCCCAGGGCTGTCAGCTGCTGCCTCAGCAAGGTGCAGCAGGGCCGGGCTCCAGCTCCCCACCACCCTGCCCGGCCCTATCCCCACCTGCAGGCCCATGTCACCACAGCCTGCCCTGATGATCTGGTCTCCTGGTTGAACTGGCCACCATCTCCAGGCCTTTGCTGTTCAGGGGTGGTGGGGATGTGTTCAGGCCGGTGAGGCCCTGTCATGCTGGCCATCTTGTTACTGCACCTGGCTCCCAGCTGCCCATCCTACAGAAAGAGCTATTCTTCACTGTTCCTTCACTGGAAATATCTATGGGAAGTGGCCATACTTAAATAAATAAATCAAAACCCCGTGACCTTTCTGGATACAAGTACAGGAAGTAAACAAGAGACAACTCAGGTCTATGGTAAGGTGTGTGTTCATGACCACAATGCATTTAAACTCATTCCTCTTTAAAAGTCTGTGGTATTTTATTGGATTGTTTTGCATATTCTTTTATGTACTAATTTCCTTGTATTTATTCTGAATCCTCACTGAACTATTCTTTTTGTCTCGTCCACTCCTTTTCTCAGCCTTCCTTTCCCACAGCATCATATGAGCAGGTTACACTGTGTTTCTATTTCCCATGGCACCAGCTCCTCCGCTCGTCCTCAGGTTACAGTTCCCTGCCTCTCTGGGAGTTTTTCTGTCAGGCTGTGCTGCCTTTTTCCATGTCCTCTTTTTCTCTCCTTGCTTTGGTTCTTTTCATCCCCCAAATGGCTCTTCTTTTCACTTGCTCTTTTGTGTGCCAGTTGGTAATAGTCTTAGCACATTGGCAGCCGGACTGGTGTTGGCATCTCAGAAAAGCAGAATTTTAAGGAGTGATTTTAGGTGAAAAATACACTAGATTTGTAGGCGCTTCAGAAACTCCTTCTAAAGAGGGAAGGTTGAAGGGGAAATAACAGAAGTTATTTATCTTTAGCAGGGAGTAGCACTATGACTGATTAGAAGTTAAAGTTGAACTTTTAATACTGCATGAGAAATTACAAGTAAAGAAAAGCCTTTGAAGGCAAGACGGGCAGATGTCAGGCAGATTTCATGG